CATGTTGGTGGGAGTTTGTGGAGATTCATTACTCTTTATGTAACCAAGTTATACCTGATGTGGGAATATTTGTTACTGATGCAAAAACAAACGTCAAAAGTGGAAAATTGTATACCTAAAATTGAGAAGCACAATAAAATTTCACCTAAATATATAGACTTGGAGAGAGAAAGCTGCTCACCAGTTCTGATACTTGGTTAAGCGTTTGATTATCCCTTGCTCTTCCATCAGGCACAGAAGCTGCCTGTTCTCATCTTCACTCCCATCACAGATGTGGACCTTGTCTGGTTGACATAACTTCGCACTTTGTTCAACAAAGTCTCTCACTGCAGGGCTCAAGGCATTCAGATCTCCCTGAACCACATTCAGAGGGTGTTGGGGCTGAGATTGGAGTTGAGGGGCCATCTCTTCTGTTGGAAATGGACCAGCAACAGACTGTAAACCAATCATAACATCAGTGCTCAGAGTGGTTGGAGTGAGGTTGTGCCTTAATTACGTCAGAGTGTTCACACATAATTTTAAAAAGTATTATATATGCCTTATTATACACTATGTTTCATGTATGTTGATGGTGTCTTAAATTTACATTCAATAAATGCATGGATTAGTGTGATAATTCTTCAGGATGAGTGTAAAGAAAAATGGTCATCAAATGCAATCTGTATTGAAAGCGACATAATTCTGGCTAAAACTGCACAACTAAAACTGAGATAGTAGAAACAGACTGTGAAAGAATACTGAATAAGAATGGAAACAATAATCAATTCTCAACAATAATTCAAAATCTGCTCTAAAAACATATGTAATGTCAAAATAGTAAAATATACACTTTGTTCTACAATGCCATCTATTTCCATAAACACCAGTTGTTAATCTGCATTATAATGTACTGAGGTTCACTTACTCTGCTTGGGAGCTCTTTCAGAGCGGGTTCAGCTGATCAGGTTTCTAACTTCTTTCTCTTCTGTTGAGCAACTTGAATTCTGAAGATCTTCAAGTGTCTGATGAGTTTTTGCCATGATGCCTGTGCCTTTAAATACACAATCAGAGGACCTCCCATCGTTCAGGATAAGGGGGCTCGTCATGTTCGTCATTGATAGTGAACATACCTCATTGAGAATACAGTTAATACTTAATCCAGTGAGACCAATCTGGACTCTTCATATTTGTTCTCGCAATCAGCAATCAATAGCTTTGAAAATATACAACAGCCACACCTCCTCAAGGACGTAGTTAATACATAATCCAGCCGATAATCTCTTCCAACAATCAGTGATCAATAGATGTTAAAATGTGCTACTTCTTTTCATTTCAGCTGAGGTCTGCAAGTTTCAGTGCTGGCTGAACATTCTCGAGCCAGACTCTGGTCCAGTTCTGACGCAACCTGTGTGTTGTTTGCTGATCCAAAAAGTGCTGTGTGAGACTTATGGGGTAACATTCTTGACATTAGGACAGGGCTATCATTGTGCTGATGCTCCAATCAGTCTTTACAAAGCTAGGCTACACCTCCAGAGCTGAAGGGCTGATAACATGGTCAGTTTCACTGTCCATTGATTGGCTCAGAATGGGGGCCTGACTCAGATACTGTGGATTCAACCCACAGTGATTGCGGATCTTAGAATGGAACAAAGTAATGAAAAGAATGGCTAACATTGATATAACATCTTTCATTACCTGATGATGTTCTAAAACACATTACTGTCAGTGAAACAGTTTTGATGTATTGTTACTGTTGTAATGTTGGAAACACATTACCCAATTTGCATTAAGATTTGATAAATGACCATCTCTTTGAGATGCTGGTTAGAGAAATAAAAATTGTCCAAGGTACGAGTGAGAACTTACTAGCTCTTAAAGACTGGTGCAGAGAGCAGCATTGGGTGAAGAATTGGAAGATAGGTACAAAATCTTGACAACTGCTTGGTGCAGGCAAGTTTTAGAATCTTGAGAGTTATAGCCAAGGAAGTGTAGTACTGGAAATGCACCAGTTTTGGATATGTTGGGCACCCTCTCCGTCAGAATGTGATTGATCATTGCACATGGTAGAATGGTGGGGTGGGGGATCAAGTGAGAACAGTTAAATGATTTCCTGGTTAAATAAAGAAACTAAGGAGGTTTGTTTAATGTGTAAGTAACTTCCACCTGATTTTAGAATTGGATTTTATTGTCACATGTACTCAATTATAGGAATACATGAGTACAGTGAAAAGTGAACAAAACTGCTATTCTTCGGCACCATCTTTGTTACAAAACCAGAACTTCCAAAAAAAAGAAAAAATTAAAAATGAACCAAAAGGTAAGAAAACATCCAGATCTTAAAGTTTGAAGTCTTATCTCCATAAAGACGTTTGGAATTCTGAGCTACCGATGCAGACACCTGGGCCTAGCCACGGCCTTGAATCTAGGTCAGTCTGTGAGTCTTGCATTGATCGTTGGGAACAGCTGTGTTCTTCTTGTCACTGGTGATATGAGAAAAATGAAAGAGTGCAAAAGTAAAAACAAAGAAGAAGAAAAAGAAAGAAAGCTGATAATAGCAGATAAGCTCTGGGCTCAGCCCTGCTACTCCGTTGCTGTTTTGCTTTTGTTTTATAATGACTGCAGCATCTATCTATAGCAAACACACAGTTTCACCTTCATTAGTAAGAACGATTTGAATTTCCATGGGCTTATTCCCTCTTGCCTAGGCATTTCCATAGTATTTTCCTAAAGCCACAGTCAGCAAACAGGGCTAATTTCTATGTAAATTCAAATACCTACACCTGCCCCCCACCCCACTCCCACATCCACCAATATCAGATATTACAAAGAGGATCACAGCACACAAAAAAACTGGAGAACAGGTCAAGAAATATTGGTCTTAGTAATATATATCCAAATGATATATATTTGAATATAAAAGAACGGGTTACAGGTAGTCCTTGTTTTCAATTGCCCCAATTAGTGTAATTTCATTTGAACAATGTTTGATCATTATGAGCTTTTTCCTTAAAATACATCTTCACTTCTGGGTTAACATTGTTTTGTGCAGAATCTGATCAGCATCTAGAGAGACAGAGGGGAAAAGGCAAAGTGAGGGATACAGTGTGAAATGCAGAGTGGCAGTCAGTTACATATTTATGAGATTAGTGTGATATAAGATGTATGATGTATATAGATACTCATTGGATCACAAAGCCTGTCCACAAGCACAGAGAGATATGGGGCCTAACATCTGCTGGCAAGAAGAGTCACGGTTTGAACGAGGGTCGCAAAAACCATTTTACTACTGAAGGTTGCTTTTTCTGATGAAGGGTCTAGGCCCGAAACGTCAGCCTTTCTGCTCCTATGATGCTGCTTGGCCTGCTGTGTTCATCCAGCCCTGCACCTTGTTGTCTCTTTACTACTGAAGGTTCTTGTGCTGCATGGAGAAGTCATAATACACTGCAGCTCTGCTGCTACCATTAATGCGTAGTATCTGTATATTTTGCATTGATAAATAAATTGGGGATTTTTTGTGCTGTATGACTCTATAACAGCAGGCACAAATAAAATTTATTCACATTTGTCCAAAACTCTTCACGTCATATACCTGTTACAAATCATTAACTTTAATGCTAATTACACATGGATATTCTACAAGTGCCAGTAATTTGCACGCAGAATATTCAGATCCATATTCCATTTTTAATTAAAGCTCTGACTCACCCGAAACATCACATAATATATGAATGCCATGTAAAAAGAAGGCAGATCAATTGAGATTGATCACTCTCAAACTGCAAGTGATCACTAAGTCAGTGGTAGTATGCATTTTAAACGTCAGCAGACAGCCATGGCAAGACACAAAATGCTGATTCTGAAATCTGTGTTGATGTTGCGTTCAATGGGTGCAGTTGACACCCTCCATTACAAAACGTAGGTGGGGCTTTTCAGTTGCAGATAAAGTACTCTTAAAATAAAAGCCAAGGGTAATTCAACTCAGTTACTCTTCCCTAATAAGCAACTGAACAAGGTTGTTGGGTGAGATCTAATTTAGTATCTGTCCTAAGGCAGAACATAACATGATTTAAATGAATTTTGATTGGTTTCTGGTAATAACATTGTTCCAACAGCAATTGTGTGGTATCTGGAATGAATTTCCTATCTTTGCATTTACAATAACGAATGCTGAAGCTTTAAAGGATGCTGCTTTAAAAGTGGACTTTATTTACAAGATAGATTCTAACATTGTCTTGGTGCAATGCAACCCATAACAGCATCACAATAATTCCCTGGAATTTTATGCCATCCCCCAAAGCTGCCCCTGTAAATAAGCAAAGTGGGAGATGGGGTTGCAAATTCAGGTGAGATGACGGGGATGCCAATGCCAATGCCAAAGCCCATTGACATTCCATCTCCACTGGCATTTTACCAGCAGAGGTGCTGAGGAGCCTTAGGTCAATTTAGGGCCCTTAACTGACCAATGAGTGCTCACTTAAGAGCCATTTTCAGCTGTTTGCTGGCATTTTACCAGGAGGAAGAAAGAGGGAATGATGCTGTATGGAGACCATCAGTGAAAATGGAGGGTCCACCCCCAGGGGCTAATGCTGCCCACAAGAAAAGCTGCCTGCTCTGGTGACTGGCTCCCCCTTCACTGAGGCCTGCATGATTGGTCCAGGCCAGTCCCAACCTTGCTCAACTTTATCCTGGGTCTCTGCAATATTTGCTGGTCTGGGGCCTACTTCAGTCCCATTAGTGGCCATCGCTCCCAGTGGCACTCCAGGATTTGAGGAGCAGCTGGCCTGTTCATTGAATAGCAGCTCTTGGAGGAGGGACATACTAACTGCTGATGGTTGAAAGCCGTGATTTCAGGCAACTAATTTACAGTAATGTAAAATGTTCCAAGGGCTGGAGGACACAGGTTCACACTTGACATTTTTAGCTGAGCCGTCTCCTTCACATTTAGCCCCAGTCAGAGAGAATAAAGGAGAGAAAAGTAGCTGAGTCTGGTCTTGTATAATCGCTTGTCCACAAATGTACTTTGAGTAGAGGTTCACAGCTTAGATCCAGGAGGGGATCTACCCTTGTAGAATTTCCCTATGCAAGGAATGGTGAGGTTAGTAAAATCACCCTCGTTGCTGACCAATCCAGAACAGATTGAGTAATAAACCTGGGCATTCCTGATCTGCCTGGCTGAACAAGTTACTACACTAACCAAGTGAGGCATTGAAGTTGCTATAAAAGGAACTTTTTCCACGTACAAATTCAATATGTTGCTAAATCAACATTTATGCCCCTGCCAGAAATGTTGTTTCTTTCAAAAGCAATTCTATTTATTTTAAGAGGCAAAGTGTGTCCATTGACAGAGTGAACCATGTTTAGCAGATATGGCATGTTTATTTTAGCGTTTGAATTGCAAAGACAGTGTGAGGTGCAATTTACAGAGCAAATGACATTTTTGAGGTAATGCATTATGTTTTCTTTGGAAAGCAACAACATTCAGGAGGCAAAGTCTGAATTGAATGAACGTTGAGTTAATGGCATTTTCTACGGGGTCTCAGAAGCCATCAGAGTGCTCCTAAATCTGTGCAAGCATTTTCAATGCGACTGTAGAAGCAGCAGAAAACTAAGTGAGAATTTAGTTTATGGATCCCGATCACATGAATGCTTGTGAATAGCTTTTGCGCAGGAGCTCTGCACGCCTCAAATATTTTTCTTTATTCACTTGTGGGACGTGGGTTTCGCTGGCTATCCAGCATTTGTTGCCCGTCTCGTTGTCCTTGAGAATCGGGCAGTGTGCTGGCTTCTTGAACCTCTGCAGTCCATGTGCTATAGGTAGACCCACAATATGTTTGGGGAGGGAATATCACAGAGCTTAGAGAAAAAGGTCATTTGGCCGAACTGGTCTACATTCCACACGAGCTTCCTCTTACCCTATTCAGCTCAGTCCATCATGTTCTTTCTTCTGAATGTAGCTGTCCAATTTCTCCTTAAAATGCATTGATCCATTTTCCTCAACTACCTTTATGTGACAGAAAGTTCCATATTCTAACCACTTTCTGAGTAAAGATGTTTCACCTTCAATTTCTTATTGGATTTAGTCACTTTATTTATTTATAAGCCCCAGTATTGGACTCCCCTCAAGTGGAAAAATCACTTGCTTCAAAAACAAAAATGCTGACTAACAAATAATGGAATGTTGGTAAGGGCTTCAAATGGTAAAGTTACCAGCCCTCAAGCCTTTTCTTGGAAATATCTTTATCCAATTCTTAAAATGATCCTTTTATAAGGGAGACTGCCACTAGTATCATTCTTCATTCCTCCAGTTGGCCTCTGCCATATCGTAATATGGCCAGTATACCAGTTGCATCCCTAAACTGGAGATTTTAAGAGATTAAAGTTTCCCCTGAATATCTGGCTTCTGAGTCCATTTTGAAATCTACATACAACTGCTGAATGCAGGTACTCTCAGCAAATACCTAATTGGAGATATGGAACAAGGATTCTGATACTTTCATGAGTCTGAAAATATCCTCTGTCACAGTCTGATGCATCCGACACCCATTGGCTTTGGGGCATTGTGAACAATGTTTCTGTACCGTAAGGACTTGAGATGAAGGTATCCCTACCGGAAGACTTTACAACATTCAGAGGAAGCTGTAAAGGCCCAGAACATTTACTCAAATCTGAGACCCCTCCTTTACCACTGTTGGGTGCATCCATTCCCACTAGATGGGTGCAGCAGTACAGTGGTGAGCAATTAGAAGTGAGAAACCATAGAAGTCCTTCGCATGCTAGTTACAATAAAATTTCACAGCATCAGGTCAAACATAGGCGAGGAAACCTATTGATTACAATGTACTGCCCTTTTCGTTATTCTTCCATGTTGAACACCATTTAAAAGAAGGTACAGATGATAGCAAGGGCACAGAATGCACTTTAGATGGGGAATTTAAATATCCATTACCAACAGTGGCTTAGTAGTACAAAAAAGGGTCAAGTCCTGAAAAACACAGATGCTAGACTGCACCTTGACAGTTGGTTGTGATGAAAAAATCTACTTCAAGACCTGACTGGTCATTAATGCAAATGTCTATTATGACATTTCTGGGAGCAACTAAAGCACAATCCTGGTGTAGATGAAGGTCCCTCTTCATGCTAAGGATAACTTTTGTTGTGTTGTGTGGCATTACCACTATGATAAATGGGATAGATTCAAAACAACGATCTGGCAGCTCAAAACTAAACATTTGTGAAGTGCTTTGAAACATCAGTGACTGCAGAATTGTATTCAGTCACAACAAACCCAGTCGACTGAATGAGGGCAAAATACTGTAGATGTTAGAAATCACAAACAAACACAGAAAATGCTGAAGTTTATATCCCAGAAAGGAATAAAATGTGTGTACCCTTACAACCCTCTATAACCTTCACATAATTTCTAATGGAGGGCATCCAGAATTGGACACATACTTCAGGAATTTTATAGAGGTTCACCATAACTTCCTAGTCTTTGTACCCTATACCTTAGTTTATTAAGTACAGGATTCCATTCTTTTGAACTGCTTTCTCAGGCTGATCTGCAAACTACAGCTGGTGAGCAAACTACTTCCTTCAAATCAGAGACAGCCTAGTAGGCCTTCCTATTGGAATTGGTCATGAAAAAGCAGAGGCTATACAGAGCTGGGAAAACTACTGGAAGAAGGAGAGAGATTTGAGGATCAGATTCTCATCAGGAGGTTGTATCTATGGAGTGTCTTTGGAGAACAACTCCCTTACCTGACCTTCAACTAAAAATGGATATTGAAATGTCTCTGCTTTAGCAAACTGTTTTGACGGAAATTGGCTACTGGTTGTAGACACAACTCAAACTTCAGGGTAAGGAGTGCATTGCCTACGTTTGTCAAATTGATTGGACCTGTATGTTTATGCAGCTGGACCATTCAAGGTAGTTATATAAATATGTTGCAGACACAACTCAAACTGCTACAGTCAGTTAGCCAGTTTCAGTCTCAGTTATATTTGAGACACCATGGCAGATCAAAGAGTGCCTACTGGGTGACAAAAATGTGACATGACTCATGACTTCAGTCCAGTAAGAATAGACTGGCATACTGTGACAGCTGTGTTGCCAGTATACAATTGGTATCTTCAAGCAATGCTCTGCAACCTGGATCACACTCCAGGGGACCTGCTAAGTGAGTATTAAGATTTATGGGAGTATGTTATATGCTGCACAACTTGGCCATTGTGAGGGACAGCACTTGTCATCATTTATCAGAATGAAGATGGCTACAACCTGTACAGTCATTCTATGTCAAAGTTCTGCTTGGATAAATGGTTAACGAGCGATGTCAGTAACCTGAACCCCAAATTTCCATTCACTAGTAGTTCCACACCTTTTACCATTCCTACTTCCCACATGTAAAATTGAAAGACAACACATAATACACATTCCAATCCAAATTTATAAATTAAATCATTCATAAATCATGTAAAAATAATCACTCTTGTGTACTCCCTTGATATCATGACCCTTTGTGATACTTCTCCACGGCTTGTGACTTTCAGTGGAGAAGCCTCAAAATGGCCTTGGAAAAAGGCCTTAAATATTTTTAAAATGCTCTGCTTCAGACTGCACTATCTGAGCTGGGCTGGCTAGCTGGAGACACTGCTGGAGTGGCAGTGATAAGACTGCCTACAATAACCCTGGGAGAGAATGGCAGGATCACATTCCATTGAACCACCAGCACTCACACGTGGTACTTCTTCAATTGCATTAAGGTGTTGGAAGAACAGAGTGCTGGAGATAACAAGGTGTAGAGCTGGATGAACACAGCAGGTCAAGCTGCATTCAGGTCCGGACCCTTCTTCAGAAAAAAATGGAGAGTGCTGGAGAGCTGTGATTTAGGGGGGAAAGTGGTTAGCACTGCTGCCTCACAGTGCCAGAAACCCAGGTTCAATTCCAGTCTTGGTTTACTGCCTGTGTGGAGTTTACACATTTTCCCCATGTCTGTGTGGGTTTCTGCCAGGTGCTCTGGTTTCCTCCTACAGTACAAAGATGGGTAGGTCAGGTGGACTGGCCACGCTAAATATGGAGGTTGGATAGGCGGCTGGCTTTGAGTGGGATCTCTTCGAAGGGTCAGTGCAGACTCCATGAACTGAAGGGCCTCTTTCTGCACTGTACAGATTCTGTGTCCTGGAAATGCCTGGGAACAGTAAAATCCAAAGAGTCGATTGCAGGAGTCAGAGCTTCCTCTAAAACACACAGCCATTGGGCTGGGGACTGGCTTGTGTTGCACTCGAAACAGAGACATCAGTTAACAAACACTGCGCCATGGAAGATGCCACTTGCTCCACGTTAGAAAGGGTGGGTTCCAAAGTCCTGTGCAAAGCACTGTGTCAAGTTGCTGCTGGACACCTCCATGTTCGTGGACATTCAATGTAAACAATCAAGGTTTCTAGTAGGCTTCCCAGACACCAGGTTAACCCTGTAAACTGCTTGTATTGAAACTTTCTTTTTAGTCTTAGCAAATGTAGTGCATGATGTCTTCCTCTGGTAAGCTGGTACTTCTGCTATCCTTTCATTCCTCACTTGTTCTTGCAAACTTATGCCTGATGTCTCACCATATGAAGATTCCTCTTTTATCTTACCTTCTAAATAAAACACAGTGCAAAAAAGCATAAGGACTATGCTATAGTGAAGGAAGAGAAGAAACACAAAATTGCATGCTTAAACTATTTGTGGCTTCTTAATTAGAAGAGATTGAGGGAAGAGACAGAGATGAAAGAAACAAGACGGGACAGAGTTTCCACTGGCCAGACAGGGTATATTGGACTTGCGCATGGGTATCCCTATGGATACCCATGTAACACAAGCTGAAAGAGTTACCTGACATATTGAATTTTCCTCTGGGAAAATCCTCTACTCCTTCAACTCTGTGAAAGTCTCCGTAAACAAAAAGCCTTCAAATGGTTCTGATGAAATTAAGTAGAATAGTTATTCACGAAAGGTAGATTATTAAATGCAAAGTCTAACTCCTGAGTAACTATTAAACTGACCCCATATCCCCCACCCTACCATTATCCGAGCCCACCAGACGTGGCCCTTGAACACCAGCCCTGCTGCCAAAACTGGACCAAAACCCCACCTTGCCATCAGACCTGACACCCCTTCCCCAACCTCAACATCAAACCTGATCTGACAGTCCTGATGCTGGAGTGGACTCAAGCCTCTGCCCTTCACCCCCACCACCCCCCACTGGACCTGACACAACCACCTGGTACATGAACCGCACCCCACTGGCACCCACCTTACATTGCACCCTTGCTCCCTACCCATCTGGTACCCTAAACTCCCAGCACCCCGACATCACACTTGCCTTATATGCTTACCCTTCTTTGACAGCAGTTGTAAAAGTGGCTGTCAGGACCTTCAACTTCAGATTAAGACAGCTGACTGCCGCAAAAAAAGGACGTTTTTTTCATTCATTCACAGGATTAGGGCATTGCCAGCTAGGCAGCATTTATTGCTAATCCCTAATTGCCCAGAGGGCAGTTAAGAGTCAACCACATTGCTGTGTGTCTGGAGTCACACGTAGGCCAGAGACCAGGTAAGGATGGCAGTTTCCTTGCCTAAGGACATTAGTGAACCAGATGGGCTTTCCCAACAATCAACAATGGATTCATGGTCATTGTTAGATTCTTAATTCAGATATTTACTGAATTCAAATTCCACAATCTGCTGTGGTGGGATTCAAACCCAAGTGCCCAAAACACTATCTGGGTTTCTGGTCTAGTCTAGTGATAATACCACTAGGCCATCAGCTCACCATGGAGAGCTTTCGTCTGACAGTTCTACGCTACAAAAGAACTGTCAGAATGTCCGAAACGTCAGCCTTCCTGCTCCTATGATGCTGCTTGGCCTGCTGTGTTCATCCAGCTCTACACCTTGTTATGTCAGAATGGAAATATGGCTCCCCATTTTTGAGTGGAATCTGCTCTCAGAAATGCAGTGTGCCTTACTTCTGTTAAATAAAATAAAGAGGTCTAGAATTGCAGTTTATGTGAGATTGCCAATCCTTTGAAAATTTGGCCCATTATTTTAACTTTAGGATGTTTATTTCATTGGTGAGGTGCTCGTTGTGTCTAGTATTCTGGAGCTTCCTTTTATTTTTGTCAGCAGTGGAATTTGTCTTCTCTTTGCAAGCTGGATGAAACCAAGGAGGAGGATCTAGGGGTATGATTTTTCTATGTTAGGGGTTCCTTATCCTCTGACTTGGATGGGATCCAACAGTCAATGGAGGGTTTAGTAAGGTGCAACATATTATCTATCACATGATTGAGTGCATGTCCAACTGATGTTAAATTGCTAACATCTACATGCTGGAGCAGGAGCCAGTCTGTCTTCCAAAACAATATATTTATATCTGTTTGGTCACTAGAAACAATGATTGCTCTTTCCACTTCCTAGTCCACCCACATTACTGAGGAAAGAAGGGTCCAGACCCAAAACATCAGCTTTCCTGCTCCTCTGATGCTGCTTGGCCTGCTGCGTTCATCCAGCTCTACACCTTGATATCTCAGGTTCTCCAGCATCGGCAGTTCCCACTATCTCTGGGGAAATCTAGCCTTTTTTCTAAAATAAATAAACCCACGATCAAATTAACAAATCACCAAATAGCAAATTACAAACAGTTCCCACCAGATGCAGTGTGGCAGTAATAAAAAAAGGGAATAAAACAAGGGTGGGGCAAAGAAAGGGTTAATTATTTTATTTCGCCTGTTTAGACATGTTATAACAAATATCTGAAGCAGGTGGAATTTTAACCGACTACTGGCTCAAATGCAGGGACACAAACACTCTACCGCAAGAACCCCAAATAATGTTTTTCTGAATAGCTTTAAAAGTTTTTAATCAACCTGCGCAAAGACGGTATTGCATAGATCTGGAGCAAGCAAGACTTGAACCTGGGCATTCTGGATCATTTCTTCTGTTTTACCAGAAGATGACAAAGGTGAAATGATGGTTCAGTGCAAACTGATGTTGGTTTGGAAGAATAAAAGTAATCTTGAGCTTTTAAATCTGCCTCAGTTCATAGATTTTCTTTGTCCGGAGCTTGCTGTTCAAGTGAAAACTATCCTTGAATGTACTGCTCATCATTCATGTACTGTTGCTTGAAATTCCCCTATTTACTGATCGATAAAGTTTGCTAACATATAACACAAACACTCTTACCTTTCTCAGTTGTGAATGGAAATTCACTTATTCAATTCTGCTTGGAAGTTGTACATTTTTTGGCTTCTTTTTAGATAATCCAGGTTCAGCACTCATCAGTATCGCTTCACCTTGTAGGCAGTGATGTCATTATGCTGCTGGCCATGCTGCAGATCTGCCTCCAGATCTGCACCTCTGAAAAATCCAGAATGCTGCTGGCTGCTTTCAAATGTGGAGGCACAGGAGGTTATGTCTGTGGTTGCGAGTAGTTTCCTGGGCCCCAATCGGCTTGTTTTGATCAGATACTGGACGTGGAGCATGGCAACAAAGTCTCAAATTTTTCTTCATCCTGCGTGCACTTATTAGATAAGAAGCAGTAGAAGAAAAACTGTAGGTCTACAGAGACGGGCAGAAGTACAGGAGTAGATGAGCTACTCTTGCAGAAAGTCTGCAGGGAATCATGGGCTGAATAGCCTCCTCTGTTTCTCATGTTGTAATATAACGGCTTTACACATCAGTTCCCAACATATTCCTTATTCATTTGTATGCATTGCCACCACAAAACTTACCTTACCCTGCAGTGACAGTCCATCTGGACCAAACTGATACGTGATGCAACAAGCTGGCAAAGCCTGTTAACAGCATGCACTTTTCTCTAGCCATGCAGCTTTTAGTGACATGACGCGCAACATTTGCATGGTGAGGGAGTGCGGCCAGGCGGTGAGCAGGCATATATGGTGAGGAAACACAGGTGGTGAGACTAACTGTCAGACACTCTGTGATTGAGTGAGCGATCATGAACTATGTGTTGAAGACCATGGCTCCGCATTTCCTTCTACCAATCCATGGACCTTGTCTTTTCTCTTGAGTATCTGTCCAAATTTTGTATCTGCCTGTAGAATTCCTGCTCATCCCACTATTGTGACCTTGCACCAGTTATCAGAACTTTCTGGCTGGTACGCCACCAAGAACCTACTTTAGGCAGATGTGAGTGCCTTTTCTTGTGCATCACGATCAATTAATGCATTAGCACCTACTCTTTGAATTGTAAGATCCTTTCCTTCTGGTTCTAATTTGCAGAATACGTGGGTATGCAATATGCAATGTGCTTCATCATTATCACCTTCTTCAATGATCGCAGTATTTGAAAATTCATAATGCACCCTTCTTACTTGTGAGGAGGGTGCTTTTACAGTCTGATCCCCACCTTGTATCACAAGAGCCTTTCCATCACATCCTGTAATGTTTCTCAGACCTCTTTCCCTATGCCCATGTCTCTTATAATAAGCCAGGTCACCAGAGGTGAATTCTCCACCAGAATCACCTTTTCTGAATCTTTTCTGGTTACTTCACTTTGATAAACACTTCCTGCTAGTATGTAGTGGTGGCACTTAAATGGATGAGAAATATCAATTAATAGTCATTTCCTCTAGGATGGGATGAACATAGAAGGTAAAACTGGACTTCACACATATACATGAGGGCAGTACGACCCTGAACACTCCCAAACAATTTACAATTTTTTTTAGCATATATCTATTGTTCTCACCAGAGCCACCTGCAGCTTGCAATTTGGCTGATCTGTCAGTTATGTTGTATTACATTTCTTTGACCAGGCAGTATTTCTTTCCAAACAAACTATTGCTCAGTGGACTTTCTGAAACAGTGTTTGGAATTACCGTATTTAAGTTTTCACAAATACCACTTAACTCAATATTTGCAAATTATTTTCCATTACTTGTTAGAAAATCTGTTTGCCTTCCAAACCCTGTGCTAATCCATTTTTCCATAATCTTATCCACTTGACTGTTTGTCCTTATTCATTACTGCAAATATGCAGAATCCAGTAGCCTTATCTACAAAATGCATGTGTCAGGCATAGGCAGTTGGGATCAAGTGAATCCCTTGAGGAGTATAGTGGGTGTAGAAGTATACTTAAGAGGGAAATCAGGAGGGCAAAAAGAGGACATAAGATATGTTTGGCAGATAAGGTAAAGGAGAACCCAAAGAGATTCTGCAAGTATATTAAGGGCAAAATAGTAATTACAGAGAGAATAGTGCCCTTAAAAATTAACAAGGTCATCTAAGTGTGGATCCACAGGAGATGGGTGAGATTCTTGTCAGTATTTATTGTGTAGAAAGACATGGAAGCTAGGGAACTCAGGGAAGCAAATAGTGATATCTTGAAAAGAGTCCACATTACAGAAGAGGTGGTGCTGGAGGTGTTAAAATACAGAAAGGTAGGTAAATCCCTGGGTCCTGATCAAGTGTGTCACAGGACATTGAGGGCAGCTAGGGAAGAAATTGCAGGGCCCCCAGCAGAGTGTGAGATGCCGGAAGACTGGAAGGTGGCTAATATTGTGCTATTATTTAAGAATGGCTGCAATGAAAAGCCAGGGAATGACAGACCAGTGAGCCTAACATCAGTGGAGGGTAAGTTGTTGGAGGGGATTCTGAGCGACAGGATCAACATGCATTTGGAAAGGCAGGGACTGATTAGGGAATATCAGCATGACTTGTGCATAGGAAATTGTGTCTTACAAATTTGAATGAGTTTTTTTGAAGAGATGTCCAAGAAGATAGATGAAGACATTGTCTACATGGACTTTGACAAGGCCTTCAACAAGGTTCCGCATGGTAGACAGGTTAGTAAGGTTAGATCACACAGGATCCAGAGGGAGCTAGCCTATTGGACACAAAATTGCCTTGATGGTAGGAGACGGAGGGTGATTGTAGAGGGTTGTTTTTCAGACTGAAGGCCTATGACCAGCAATGTACTACAAAGATTGGTGCTAGGTCCACTGTTGTTCATCATTTATATAAATGATTTTGATGACAGTATAGGAGGCATGGTTAGTAAGTTTGCGGATGACACCAAAATTAGTATACTGGTCAGTGAACAAGATTACCTAAGAGTACAATGGGATCTTGATCAACTGGGCCACTAGGCTGAGGAACAGCAGATGTAATTGAATTCACATAAATGCGAGGTGTTGCATTTTGGTAAGACAAACCAATCCAGGACTTACACACTTGATGGGCTCTGAGGAGTGCTGTTGAACATAGAGATCTATAGGTGCAGATACATAGTTCCTTGAAAGGGGCATCACAGGTTGACAGAGTGGTGAAGAAGATGTTTTCGGCCCACGATGCTGTACCGAACTTTTACGCTAATCCTAAGGTCTCTCTGACCTCCACCCCTACCTTATGCTATCATCCATATGCCTATCTAATAGCCGGCTAAATGCCCTGAATGAGGCCGACTCCACTATCCTCTCCGGCAATGCATTCCACGTCCCGACAACTCTCTGAGTAAAGATCCTACCTCTGACGTCTCCCCTATATCTACCTCCATTCACTTTAAAACCATGCCCCCTTTTAATAGCTACCTCCACCCTAGGAAAAAGTCTCTGGCTGTCTACTCTATTTATACCTCTGATCATTTTGTACACTTCTATCAAGTCACCTCTCATCCTTCGTCGGTCTAAAGAGAAAAGCCCTAACTCTCTCAACCTTTCCTCATACGACCTTCCCCCCATTCCAGGCAACATCCTGGTAAATCTCCTCTGCACCTTTTCCAACGCTTCCACATCTTTCCTGTAATGTGGTGACCAGAACTGGACACAATACTCCAGATGTGGCCGAACCAGACTTTTGTATAGCTGCAGCATAACTTCACGGCTCTTGAACTCAATCCCTCTTTTAATGAAAGCTAACACACCATACGCCTTCTTAATAACTCTATCCACCTGGGTGGCACCTTTCAGGGAACTGTGAACATGAACCCCAAGATCCCTCTGCTCCTCCACACTGCCAAGAATCTTTCCGTTAACCTTGTATTCTGCTTTCAAGTTTGTCCTTCCAAAATGAATCACCTCACACTTTTCAGGGTTAAACTCCATCTGCCACTTCTCAGCCCAGCTCTGCATCCTATCAATGTCCCTTTGTAACCTAAAACAGCTCTCCGCACTGTTCACAACACGACCCACCTTCGTATCGTCTGCGAACTTATTAATCCACCCTTCCACTCCTTCATCCAAATCATTTACAAAAATCACAAATAGAAAAGGACCCAGAACAGACCCTTGTGGTACACTACTCATAACTGAGCACCATGTTGAATATTTTCCGTCCACTACCACCCTTTGCCTTCTAAGGGTCAGCCAATTCTGAATCCAATCTGCCACATTTCCCCCTATCCCATGCCTCCTTACCTTCTGCATGAGTCTACCATGGGAAACTTTATCAAATGCCTTACATAAATCCATGTATACCACATCCACTGCTCTACCTTCATCCACGTGTTTGGTCACCTCTTCAAAGAATTGAATAAGATTTGTGAGGAATGATCTACCCCTCACAAATCCACACTGACTATCATGAATCAAACTGTGCCTTTCCAAGTGAACATAAATCCTATCTCTCAGAGCCCTTTCCAATATTTGCCCACCAGTGAAGTAAGACTAACTGGCCTGTAATTTCCAGGGTTATTCCTATTCCCTTTTTTGAACAAGGGAATGATGTCTGCCTCTCTCCAATCTTCTGGCACTATACCTGTGGACAGTGAGGATGAAAAGATCATCGCCAAAGGCCTTGCGATCTCTTCCCTCACTTCCCATAGAATCCTTGGATAAATCCCATCAGGCCCGGGGGACTTATCGATCTTCAACTTCCTCAAAATTCCTAGCACATCTTCCTTAGTAACATCGACCTCCTCTAGCCTACCAGCCTGTTTCACACTGTCCTCCTCTACTACTAGGTCCCTCTCAGTTGTGAATACCACAGAAAAGTATTCATTAAGGGCCTCTCCTATCTCTTTAGGCTCAGTGCACAAATTCCCTTTACAATCCTTGATCGGCCCTGATCTGGTCATTCTCTGATTCCTCACGTACATATAAAAAGCCTTGGAGTTTTCCTTGATCCTATTTGCCAAGGTTTTCTCATCCCCCCTTATAGCTCTCCTAAGCCCTTTCCTCAGCTCCTTCCTGGATAACTTGTATCCCTCTACAGCCTTTTCCGTTCCTTGTTTCCTAAACCTTACATAAGCATCCTTCTTCCTCTTAACCAGTCGTTCGACCTCTCTTGAGACCCAAGGCTCCCTCACTCGACCGCATTTTCCCTGCCTGCTAGGGACAAACATATCGAGCACACGCAGTATGCATTCCTTAAACAATCTCCACATTTCAATAGTGCTCTTCCCTGACAGCATCTGTTCCCATTTTATGTTACCCAGTTCTTGCCTAACAGAATTGTAATTACCCTTCCCGC